GCACTTGCGCAATAGTATTACTCTTATCGCGAGCAATGGCATATAAGGCTGGGTATTGCTCTCGGAGACTGGCATTGCCTAGCCATATGTCTTCCCAGAAACGAACCTCTGACCCATCCATTATCGCGAAAGACCCAAAGCGAAAAAGATGTTTCTTTGCCGCCATTAGGCCAGCCCAAAAGTGTGAGTCACCAGATTTCCAATAAGTCTGAGACACCGCCTTTTGGCCTAGATACTTGTTGCGCAATATAGTTTGCCAAACACCATCCTCAGTAAGAAGTTTGAACAACCATTTACTAAGTAGGGCCTCATTCTTGACCTGTAGGTCATGAATTCCAAGGCCACCTTGGTCTTTCGGCCTACAAACCATGCTCCATTTGGCCAGCCTATATTTTTTCTTTTCACCATCTCCCTGCCAAAAGAATCTGGATCTAAAATAGTTCAGTCTTTGGAGGACCCCTTTTGGGAGTTGGAAGAAAGAAAACATATAGAGAACCATATTTGTGAGGACAGAGTTAATTAAAACCAACCGTCCTCCAACTGAGAGCAACTTGCCTTTCCAACTGCTCAGTCGTTTCTCTAGACGCTCCTCAACATGCTTCCACTCCGCAATGATGAGACGCCGATAGTGAACTAGTATTCCTAGATATTTAATTGGGAATTGACCATGTGCACAACCAAACAGGCCAGCGTAATCTGCAGCCGCCTCAACGGCTTCTCCAAAGCAGAAAAGTTCACTTTTATGGAAGTTAATTTTGAGCCCCGACATTTGCTCAAATGCTGAAAGCAATAGTTTCAAGTTTCGAGCCTTGTCCAGGTCATGTTCCATAAAAAGAATTGTGTCATCGGCATATTGCAAAATAGAGAGACCACCATCAATAAGGTGTGGCACTACTCCTGCAATCTGGCCGTCCTGCTTGGCACGCTCAATCAGAATAGCCAACATGTCAACAACAATGTTAAATAACATTAGGGACATGGGGTCACCCTGTCGTAGTCCTTTTTTGTCTGTCCGCCGCTCCAGCTACGAGAGGTGGCAGAGACCCCAAGACTTCGGTCCCAAGGTAGTAGAGTTCGTGATAAAATTAGATTTTGTCTCCGATGGGCAGGGGCGAGACAATGGCGTCGGCGGCGGCGTAGAATAAGGTCGTTCGAGTTCACCATCGTTACAGTGATACTCCCTCCGTCCGGAAATACTTGTCATCAAAATGAATAAAGAGAGATGTATCTAGAATGGAAATATGTCTAGATACATCCTCTTTTATCCATTTTGATGACAACTATTTTCGGACGGAGGGGGTACTTTGTATTCTTAGAGGCGTGTGCAGGATGATGTGTCCACAGATCTAATTCTTTGGGTCTGCATTTTTCTTCCGCATGCTTGTCTTGGTGGCGTAGTCCTGCAGAGCGGGGTAACATGGCTATGCGTCTTGGTCATCCCCGGCTCCAATTCCAACCATTGGAGATTTGTGTTCCCCGAACAACTCTGGCTTGACCCGAGACGTTCTATAGGCCCTCTATGAAGTTTTCTTCTTCAAGGCGGCGATTTGCTACACATATCGTGGTCGTCATCGTCTTCTAGCCTACATCGATGACATCTCGACCATTGTTTTGACAAGCTCATAAGTTTCAACAAGATGAGACAGGGGCCCACATGCGGCAACGAGCTTTGCTACTTGGATGTATTTTCCAAATTTTTTCTGTAAGGGTGATTTTGGAGGATTTGTGCTACTTAATATATGGTCTTTGGTCTTTCAGCAATAGTAATAGTAATAATAATAATAATAATAATAATAATAATAATAATAATAATAATAATAATAATAATAATAATAATAATAATTCAAAGCACTAAATTTGGGGGGCAGATTATTTTGGACCACGGTCATACAACACAACTTTTACAAACATGGTGTGCTTTGCCCGTCTGTTTCCTTCGGTAATGGCAAGGGAAGGAGGAGGAGGGGCAAGGTGGCGGCTAGGGTTTGCAATCTCAAGCCGCTCCGGGAGCGACGCAGGGCATGGGAGTCTTCATGGTAAAGGGTC